TGAAAAACAGTAAAGAGAAGTAGATGCAATAAAAAATCAGTTGTTTCCAAATGATGGCATCCGGCCCACTTTTGATAACTACCCTATGATGCAATAATAACATTTTGGACAACGTCTACTCTACCTGTGACCGAACGCACTTCACTAATCTAAGATTATTACTAGTAACTAACTTATATCACACTTGCGGAGGTTTTCCAACATATTTTGTCATTTTCAAAAATTTTTAATGAAAAATTCTCGCGTTTTGTCTACAAGTTTAATCCAATCATTTATTCAAGGTCTATAAGCTAGTTATAAACCTCGGACGAACAAAGAAAACCGACGCAAGTGTGATATAAACACAAATATAAACCTCGCGTAACCTGTTTACGCTGTACAGGAGTATACGGATTCGCTTGTTTCGTCGGACACCAACACTTGCCGTTCAGGAGCAATGCTTGCCTACAAATTTTATCATTTTATCGTATAGTCGCAATTTTCAAGTATTCGGGGTATTCTGAAACTAAAAAACTGGGTGGCGTGCGAATCTTGTAGAGACTGTACATATATCGGCCTATAGGCGTAGAGCTATCCCTAAATTAATTTAGTAGCTTCATTTAATTGTTTGTCTTGCTTTTATTTGTCAGTACAGAATATTGTAAATTAAAATATTACTACAATGCAATACGCGTAGTATTTCATCAGACATCTGCACTAAGGGAGCGGTCATAAAGTAAGTGCTACCCCGGGCCAGGGATATTGGGATGGGGTATGAAATTTTTTTCAGGGATCTGGATGGGGTATGAAATAAATTTATCACTTTAAACAGGGGGTATGAAACAAAATTTGTTTGTTTCAATACAAAAATTGTGTTAATACAGTTTAATATTACGGCTCAGTTCATGGTCCAAATAATTTTCATACATCACGGCCATCATTGTCTCATAAAAGATTTGACCGTTGCTCAAGTAGTCTCCCTTGCAGTTGCTCTTTGTGTTGTGATTTTATTCCTCTTCATGAGCTCGTGTGGAGGAATACATGATGACAAATATTATTCAAAGAATGGCTGTAAGAGAGACTATTGTACTGTATATTTAATACACAGTGTAATCATTTTTAACCCTATTTGTACCGGGGGTGGGCACAATGAGCACACCCAAATAAATATTTATCCGTCATTCCTGAACAAATGAACCCATTTGCTTTTCTGAAAATTCAAGTTATCCAGATGTTTGACGACATTTGTCAAACAAGGTGTCGGGGCCAAAAATGGGAAAATGTGGGTTGGACAGTATTTTTTGGCTGAATCACTTCCAAAGACATAAATAACGTATAAAGATGGGTTATTACACATGATTTGCAAAGTAAAATATCCATAATATATTATATAATATAGTAAAATATTGTATAATATATAATATCGTATATTATAAAATACTTATATAACATAAAATACTTATTTATAATATTTTTATATATACAAATACACATATTTCTTTGTATCTTCAAGGTTGAGCAAACACCAAACATTTAGGAACCATAAATATATTGCAGAATATGAAACCAATTTATATTGGCCTGGTATAAAAACATGATCGCCATTTCGTATTTTTTCTACAAACTTTTCTTGATCGCGACTTCATTGTTTCTTCGGTTTATACTAAAGAAGTTATGCCACCAAAAAGAGCTAGAGTTTCAGCAGAATGCGCAATTGCAAATATTATGCGATTTATGGAACAATATGACAACAATGACAGTGTCACAGTGATGATGGTGAAATCACTCAATCAGTGATGTTGAAAATGATTTGGATTGTTTATATGGGAAGACAGTTCAGTTTCAGTTGTATTTGTTTGAAACGACTTTCATATGGTACAGAAATGCCAGCTTGTAAAGAAAAATGGTGGTGTTTATGGTCATCTGAGGTATGCCATAACATAAAAATATGTCTTTTGAATGTAAAAGACCCAAAAATATCACATCCAAAATTTTTTTTATCTCTCTACATAAAATAACCAAAATGGTAAAATATTAGCAATATTCGCCATTTTTTGACAGGTGGTCGTTTTCAATTGGGCCAAAAAACAGCATTTTGGATTTGAATTTTACTTTTTTGTTATTTTTAAGTTAAAGAAAGATAAAACTTACTAAAAATAAAACTTATAGGATAATGGCAATTAGTCAACAGAATTTCTGAGTCCTATCAGCACAGCCCAGGTCATATCAACATGAGTAAACCCCGGTAAGCTTATCGTTTTATGATGGGGTATGAAACATTCAGACTGTTATCTTGATGGGGTGCCAAATATTACCCAACAATTTTGTGGGGGTATGAAATTTTTGTCACAAAATTATAAATATCCTCCGCCCCGGGGTAGCACTTACTTTATGACCGCTCCCTAATAAATACTGTACAAGGAAAACTACAGCTTAAATTATAAATAGTAGACGTTTCTTGTTTTGTCAGGAAACATCACAGCTCACTTTGACACGGCTTTTGAGTTTTGTAACCGGCCGAGGCGAAAGTAAATCATGCAGTCGGGAAAACGCACTGATCTGAAAGAAAACGTCTTACTTTGAAAGATTATTTTGCAAAACATACTCGTACACACAAGAATCGGCTGGTTAATTTTGCAGGTTGCAGGTTGCAGGTTGCAGGTTTGCAATTCCCTACCGATCCAGACGATGAATGAGATCTGACAGTGACTGATCCCCACTTCTGGTTTTCATCACAAACAATACTGTTTATTCAAACAAAAATACCAATACTGGTATATATATAGAATACAGCAAATGTCTATTATAAGCTATACTAGAAAATACATGCATGCAGAAACCCTCGCCTTGCTGACAAAACTATTATGTTTTCCAAACATGAAGTATTGTCATGGTAACACGATAATTTTGAGAATAGTTTTACAGTGCGTCTACTGTAAGTGGGGCCACTTAGAGAACACTAACCAATCACATTGCAGAACAGAAAGTGAAAAAATCAACAAACGGCGCATTAGCCAATCAGCATTAGGACAAAAACAATTCGAACAAATAAACGAATGTCAAACGGTAAAAATAGACATGTAAAAGTAAACATTGCAGTTAATGGCTTCCTGAATCTTTCTTTTGATTGGACGAGCTTTAGTTTGATTAGATTTTTCTTTCTGTTCTGCAATGTGATTGGTTAGTGTTCTCTAAGTGGCCCCACTTACAGTAGACGCACTGTAAAATTGAAAAATCCCCCCAAAATGATCAATTAAATTCCCAAACATGTATATGCTAGGTATGTTATTATACGTAATATAAGCTTCAATTTAATGTAAAAATCAACCACAAACGCGTCGCAAAACGTTTCAAAATGTTCTTAAAACTAGACTGCCTTTTACTGCATTGGTAAAATAACTCGCCGTCATGCCACAGAGATCATGCTGAAAACCGGAAGTGGAGATCAGTCACTGATCTCATTTATCGTCTGGATGTAGGGAATTGCAAACCTGCAACCTGCAACCAGCGCCTGCAACCTGCAAAATTAACCAGCCACACAAGAATCATAAAAATACAAATGTTGAATTGTTATTGTCAACTGTCAAGTTCAGTTATTTTTAGACAATATGGTGTTAGCCAATCAGAATGCAAAATTGACCGGCCCAGACCAGGGCTTCCTCGTGTCTCGCCTCGTCCTCACACTGAAGCCCTGGGAACGAGGTTGATGTATGCTATATGCAGCTGTCGGACGCTGCGCGTCCACGGGGCTGTATACAGCATGCATGCATCCCGCGTCTTACGTAGCCCGATTGGCTGGACTATGCGGGCGAATTTCTCGTCCCAGCCGAGCAGGTTTCCGTGAACAGATGCAAGGATTCCACCTAGATTTATCCTTTGTTGTTCATTCTTGTAGTGGAAGTGGTGGAATTTATTTCATCAAATCAAGAAACAGCGTTGGTTATGCAGAAACAGAATGCCATAGTGGTGGCGAGGCGATTCCTGAATCAGACTGCACAGGGAGTGGATGGACGTACATAGGGAGATTGTCTGGCGCCCAAAACACTGTAATTAAATCAGTTTAATTATTATATCCCAAGAGTCAAAGTTATTTTCTTTGATACTTGGTATACAATGTTCACGCCTATGGGCCTCGTTTCAATGTTTGTTGACGACCAACCCACGCGCCTTCAATACTTGTATTTGGGGACTGTATATTAAATGTTACATGAAGTACACACCACTCACAATAACGAACGGTTTTATTTTTCACGCTAAAAAGACAAATATTCATAAACTTACAAAGCGAAATAATACAGAAATACTAAAACATACCTATTAACCTTACACAATACATAAATGAATAAACTGAGACTGTCTAAGTTAAAATATTACGACCGTCACATAGGGTCATTCCATTTATTATCCGCACCCCCCCTATGGATGAGCGGATTCCTACCGGTCAGATATTAGGACTTAGGGGATTCCTACTGGTCAGATATTGGGAATTAACAGATTCCTTTGGCCCGATTCCTACCGGTCAGATATTGCCGTCAAGGTGTAGCATACTATATTGCCAAATATTTATTATGAGAATCATAATAATTTCATTTATTATTCTCACCCCCCCCCCCCCCCGGTCTGACATTGGGAATTAGCAGATTCCTACCGGTGAGATATTGGCAATTAGCAGATTCCTACCAGTGAGATATTGGCAATTAGCAGCATTCCTAGGGTTTAGATTGATACTGTCGATTCCAACAGGGTACTTCTCTGAAATCCGATTCCTACAGGTAACATTTTTACCAGAGCTCATCCATAGGGGGGGTGCGGATAATAAATGGAATGACCCATATACGGAAATAAATCAGTCAAATTATGCTCATTTTTACCGTTCAAAAACAGTCAAATCTTCTTGATTCAAGCCAGCCAACAGAGCAGTACAAAATCGACAATAATAACAAGTTTTCGCGATCCAAAAGCGTCCAAAACAGCGTACAAAACGACCAATTTCCTTTTAAACAACTCAGTTCTCTCAAAACGTCACGACAACGTTTGTTCTTGAGCCCGCAGTATAATAAACGCATACTTCATATAAAGTTTCTCAACGCCCGTCCATCACTCCTCCCCATCGTTCGTCTCGATTTCATCGGGGCGACGATCGTATCCGCATTCCTCTTCGAGAAGACATAATTTCGTAACTGGTCTGGTATAAACACCATTGTTAGTCTTCACTTTGGCAGCTCGAACTCGTCCGTCTTTTCCAGGACATGTTTCAACAACTCGTCCTAACTTCCACTCACCACGTAGAAGACCCGGATCTGCTATGAGAACAACGTCGTTAACTGAAATGTTCCTTTCCTCGTTCCGCCACTTCTTCCGGGAGATGAGATTAGGCAGGTAGAGCTTCACCCACTGCTGCCACACGACATTTGCTAAGTGCTGGGTCTGTTTGAAACGACCTTGAAAGTTTGGTCGGCTGTACTCTCCGAGTGGGACAACTGGCGAGCGTCGATGTAACCAAAAATGGTAGGGTGTCAGAGCCTCTATGTCCTCAGGATCGCTGCTGACATATGTTATCGGTCGTGAATTGACGAATCGCTCGACTTCGGCAAAGAGAGCGGACAACTGCAAATCTGTAGGGTTACTTCTTTTTGGTCCTCCTTTTGGATTCAGGGTACGGTTAAGTGCTGTCTTGACTGACTTAACTAAACTCTCGTGTACTTCTCCCCAGTGAGGGCTTGCAGGGGGTTGGAACTTCCAGGTAATTCCTTCTCCAATTCTAGCTAGGCGGGTTTGAAGTTCTTCACTATGATTTAGTTCTCTAACCATCGACTTCAATTCAGAGACTGCGCCGACGAAGTTCGTGCCGTTGTCACTGTAGATAGATCTTGGCTCTCCACGCCTCGCCATCATCTTGTGAAGAGCTTGTAGGAAGTCAGGGGTAGATAACGATTCAGCAACTTCCAAATGAACACATCGAGTCGTCATGCATGTAAACAGGGCGCCGTATCTCTTCGCTTTCGTGTTTCGAGTCAACTTGACTTCGATTGGCCCGAAATAATCCACAGAAGTGTGGTAAAATGCTGGTTGCATGGTAGTTATTCTTTCGATAGGAAGTTCACTTAGTAACTGACTGCCGGGCTTCGCTCGTTCTTTCTTACACTGAGTGCACTTTCTCTTGAAACTCTTGACTTCCTGTCGTCCGCGAATTATCCAGAACTTTTGACGAATTGCGGCCAAAACGTGGTCAGTTCCTCCGTGTTTTTCGAACCGATGATAGCTCCCGACAATCAGCTGGGTCAAACGGTGTTTCTGAGGTAGGAGGATCGGGTGTCGCACTTCGTAAGGTAATTGAGCACGGTCAAGTCTTCCTCCAACACGGATTACGTTATTCTCGTCCAGGTAGGGGGTAAAAGGCAACAGTTTTGATCGCTTGCTGACACTATTCGTTCTTTCCAAGGATTGGAGCTCGTCGGGGAATGCTTCTCGTTGACATTGGCGCACTAGAGCAGTCTGTCCAACTCGTAATTCTTGTACGGTTACGACACTACTCTTTGGTTTCTTTCCTTTACATACATTGAAGAAACGATGAACTAACGCTGCTACTCGCTGTCCTTTCGACAGGGACGAAAATCGCTCTAAGTCGACGTCAGCATAGACGGGAACACGCTCTGGGTTGGATTTGGCAACGAATATTTTGCTTGGTTTGATTTCTTCGTGTTGCTGTAACTCTTCGACAGGCATTTCCTTTGGCCAGTTATCTTCAACTTGATAAAGGAAATCAGGACCAGTGAACCAACGCACGGGAATCAATTCCGATCGCTCATCAAATCTCGAACGGGTGGCACAGTCACTTACATTCAGTCGGCCAGGTACGTGGCGCCAGGACTTTGAGTCTGTCAACGTTTGGATTTCGCCAACTCGGTGAGCGACGAACGGCTTATACCAAACTGCAGTAGATCGTATCCAACCAATAACACATTTACTGTCCGTCCAAAAGAACACGCGGTCAATGTGTCGTGTCATAGCTTCTTTAACATAATTCGCTAGGCGAGCACCTAGAAGGGCAGCTTGCAGTTCAAGCCTTGCTACACTTAAAGCTTTCTGCGGAGCTACTTTCGTCTTGGCCATCAGGAAGGAGCACCGTACGTCGCCGTCGTCATAAATGCTTCTCAAATAGACCACGGCCGCGAAAGCTTCCTCCGAGGCATCACAGAACGTATGGATCTCTGACTCGATCACGTTTTTCTTCTTAGGTTGTATACATCGTGGTACACTTACTTGCTCTAACTCTGGCAGCCTTCTTAACCAAGCTTTCCACTTTATCAGGTGGGAATTAGGAATGGGGTCATCCCAATCGAGACCTAGTAGGCATA